ATTTCATTTCTAACAAATTCCTAAGTGAAGATGATGCTGTTGATGTTGACATGGGGAACCACACTTTGAGACCTACTACCTTGAAGCCTTGCAGGGCCCTAGAGTACCTAGGATTTTGAACCCAGAGGCTGCCACAGTTGTTAGTTGGAGTTAGTTAAGCTCTGGTGATATTCTAAGAACAGTGTAACATCAGAATCTAATGGACCCAATTTTAGGTTTTCAGTTTCTATTTTGTGCAGTTCTAGTTATCTGTGAGGATTGATATGTTAAGACTTATCAATTCTTTCCTAAAGGTCTTCTGAAGAACAGAAAACTTATTTTATTTTATTTATTTATTTTTTTTTCAACGTTTATTTATTTTTGGGACAGAGAGAGACAGAGCATGAACGGGGGAGGGGCAGAGAGAGAGGGAGACACAGAATTGGAAACAGGCTCCAGGCTCTGAGCCATCAGCCCAGAGCCCGACGTGGGGCTCGAACTCACGGACCGCGAGATCGTGACCTGGCTGAAGTCGGACGCTTAACCGACTGCGCCACCCAGGCGCCCCAGAAAACTTATTTTAAAAAACAGTAAAACTCATTCTACCCTATAATTATCAAATGGTCAGTTGAGCCCTTTTACAAATCTAAGAATTACGGAATCCTAGTGATCATATTTTTCCCTACATTTTGAAACAAAGGTAGGAAATATTTCATTATGATTCATTAGTTATTGCCAACTATGCTAAAAATGACTAAAATAAGAAAACAGAAAAATGGTAGAAGAGTTTTCTCATGTTGTCCAAAGTACTGCATCATCTTTCAAGATATCACTCCTCTGTTGTGTGCTTCTAGCTGTCACGGACAGAGTTGAGAGTCCAAAATTTTTCACTTCTACTCTTAATGGCAACTGGGTAAAAAGTGAAAACTGACAGCAGTCATTTCACAATTATTAGATGAATAAAATGAATGCAAAATGGTAGGTAGTGTACCCTAAACTAACAATGGCAAAATTAACTGTATATGCAAAACTCTTAGACTATGAATTTTTGGATGATGAAACACTAGATGACTTTTCTCCAACCCAGGAATCAACAAGAGACAAAGGAAAAGAAAGAAAGAAAAAAAAAAAAAGACAAAAAAAAAATGGCACTCTTATCTAAAGAGTCATTCAGCAGGGAGGACTTCATCTTGCAATACTGTGCAATAAGAGCCTGAACTATCCTGTTTTTCTAAAAATATGTATGCCTGTTTCATCTCTTATGGTATTTATAACCAAAATTTACTTGATAGCATTTGAAACTGGACAGTGCTGAAGGCAGATATGTATACAAAGGTGACTGGAAGAAATGTGGAAATGAAAACATTCATTGGATTCAACTTTGTAATTGAGTTTATAATCTAAAAATGAAAATGTTTAAAAATATGGAGCAAAGATGACAACCCCCATTTTCAACACAAAATCATGAGCACAAAGGTGTATGTACTGTATTTTGATGATGCAAATGCTAGAACTGCAAACAATAAAACTAAAATCTATTAGAAATTTAAAATCTGAAATTATATGTTCCAGTTTTACACACAACTGACAAGCAGTTAGCTGTATTCAGAGGCTGCTAATCATTTTGGGTAAATATGTCACGAAAATCAGGAAACTGTGTAACAGAAATTTGGGTTTGCTATGTTTACATTCATATTAAAATTTTCAATAAAATTGTTTTTTGCTGTCTTTATTCTTCTGGGAATTATGTGTAGCAGATTTACAGAATATAAAAGAAATGATGGTGACCATTTCTCTGAGGATATGAGAGTTAAAGTATTTGTACAACAATGGACACTCACTGATGGTCCTTTAAATTCCTTTTGGTTGGGAGCTTATATGCTTTCATGATTCTGGCTACCTAACTTGCAGAGCTCTACTTTCCATCTGACAACTCATATCTTTTTATAAGCCAGTTAATTCTTAACTATTTCTGGCTGACCATAGTTAAGAAATAAAAGGCAAAGTACTAGTGAAGCTTAAGTTCTGATTCTCACTACATCACTTGCTCTCTGTGAGCCTGGACCTGACATTTAATTTCTTAGTTTTCATTCCTTATCTACATTAAGAAACTTCTTTAAAAGACTATCTTAATAACAAAACCCAAGAACTGCATAGTGTTTTACAACTTACAAACGACTGTTCACTTCCATTCTCTCAAGAATCCATTTAATAAATAAGAACACTGAGGCAAAGGGACTTAAAAACTTAAGTTGCTTACTCTGATCCTCTTGCCTTAAGTTTTTTGCTCTTTCCACATCATATCGTACATGATCAAATGGGACAGAATACGTGGAAGTACTTTTTGAACTACAGTTATAAAAGTTATGGAATCAAGGTAAAAACAAAACTGTCTAAAAGCCAAAACTTTTCTGAACCATTTCTATTAAAAGAGCAAGTATCTTCAATGTCTTTACATAAGTAATCCTATCCTTTACAATATCTGATCCTAATGTTTTTTCCAATCAAGTCCTGGTTCTTCCTTCCAAAGACATTAGCATACAACACCAAGTACCTTGCCCAAATGCTGCATTCTCAAAAGCTCATGGGTGCCTGATAGATTCTTAGAGGGTCTCCATGAGTTACTACAATTAACTTTCTCTCTCCTCCTACTTCCTACATAGCTTTCATTTCTTCAAACCAATGAGGCCATTTTTAAATTCTTTACCCTTAAAACCTTTTAGTACAGAATTACAGTCAATTACCTCCTCCTGAATACATATGCTAGTAACTCTTAGAATTTACTTCTAACACTGTCAGCATTTTCCTAGAGCTGGATTCCATGTTTAATACCTACTTTTAATATCTCTCAAAATGTGTTACCCTCATTTAATATGTGAGGTCAGTAGGCAAAAAAAAAACAAAAACACTTTATCTTTTACATGCAATGGATGCTCATTAGAAACTGATGACCAACTACAACTTTAATTATAATTGATTTTCTACAATTTAGGTATGTATTTCAAAAGTATATTTTTAAAATTCTGTATACAGCATTTAAAATATTTTTAAAAGAAGTACTTAAAGATAACTCCCAATTACCAGTAAAATACTCACCTGAAACTGACTTAAAAAAAAAAAAAAAAAACACTATCAAAAGACAAGTTACTCTACTGCACTTTAACATAAAATTAGCAACATAATCATTTTTAGAGTCTGTTAAAGTTGCAGGGCCTAATCCTGAATTGCAACTATAACCATCTCCTTCAACTGACAATGCTTATAAAATTGGAAAAGATCTTAAAGGTCATCTAGTTTAAACTGATCCCATCAGACAGAAGCTGTTAGAGTTAATTACTTAATCCCTTTAACTTTGTTAAATTACCTAACATCAAGAGTTTTCTGTTAAGCTAAAAGATTGTTTGTTTCTGAGTCTAGCAAAACAGGTGCCACAGTTAAATACCACGAGGAAAACACTGTAATAGCTTTTAAAATGGCACCCAGGTTACTCAAATGCCTTTAGACAAATGCCTGACAAGTACTGGATTGCCATATTAACAAGATCTAAAGCCAGAAGCAGGTAAGAACATGGCACATGAAAAAATCTCTCATTATGTAATTATTCACCTCCAAATCTTTACTGATTACTAATCTTTCTGCAGAGCTAAATTTAATTTAAGGACCTTGGTATTCTAGTCTTAACACCAACCACCACCCATCCAAAGTGGGGTGGGTCTTAACATCGTCTCATTTGCTACAACTTATATACAACCGTAGTCTTTAATGAGCTTTTTAATGGTTCACTAAGGAAGGTATTATGAAAGGTACTGAACTGCACTATAGAAATAAAGAACTCTACATGTTCAGAAATTAATAGTGCTTTAAACAATAACTGAAAGAAAACTAGATGTCCTTTTATCATCCTTAAAAATGGCATTTCGATGCCCCCCGCGCCCCAAAATTTCTCAATCAACGTTCCCAAGGCGTTTATTCATTGTATGAAGGACCTAGTTTTCCGTTTACTGCAGTCTCCATGACACTGCGCTAAGAGCCAGGACAAATATACAAAAAGACTTAGGGACAAGCACCGTCCTTCATTTTTGAATTCCCAACACCTGGCATAGCAGTAAATATTTAATGGATTACTTTAAGGAATGGTTTGCTATTTAAGCTGACAAGCTTTGGGTTGGGGGGTGGGGGAGAAAGGTGGCTGAAATCAAAATGGGCTTCTAGGTCTTAACATCTTAGACCTCGCCACCATGCGTCAGTAAGAAATTACTCCCCTGGTACAATATTCGGTTCAATACTGTTTTCCGTTTACTCTTTATAGTACATTGCAAAAGTAATAACGGCCGGAAAATCTGTCCAAACGTGCACCACATCTTGACATTGTCACAGGATCATTTTAAACCTCAAACAGGGAGGATCCTGCCATCCCTATCCTAACTAGAAAGGCCCGACAAAGAAGCTTCATCAGCCCCCAAATAAGCTACTCGACCCTCTTAGGACTTCCTTTCTCGAACCCCCTTCCTACGCAGGTCTCTGGCTCTTAGGGTGTAGACCTCTTAAACCTTCCGACACTCAATTAAGGAAGGGAGACATTTCCCAGTCATTCTTCTGGTTCCTCCCCCTCGGCCCTCCCCCTTCGGGCCACCTCAGACGCTTCCTCTTGCTTAATCCACCCTTCCCGGCCTACCCCAGCCTTTAGTAGGCCTCAACCCTCATCCACTCCGCCATTGTTATTTACATCGTCGTCTGGGGAGGCTGAACGCTTCACCCCGTGCGGATGGGACTCCCTGGCAGCACTCATCGTTGCGGAGACCCCGACGGGCAACGCCGAACCCACTCGCCGTTCTCTTCAGCCCCAGCACCAGCAGCCTGCAACCTGCCACGGGCCCAAGCAGCGCCACTCCAGAACGCAGAGCCCCTCCAGGCCTTCTCCGCCACAGTCGTCACCGCCGCGGCTACTCGCCACTACGGAGCACTCTGGCAGTTGTAGTTTTCCGGCTCAATCCATACCGACTAGAACGTACGGGATGGATGGGGCAACTAAAACTACAATTCCCAGGAAGCTCAGCGGCGCAGATCGCGCTGTGTGGCGGGAGTGCCCTCTGAAGCTCCGCCTTCATGGGCTGGTGGAGGGAGCTTTCCCGCGGATGGGTATGGCGGTGAGCGTTCGTTTAAAGCTTCGTTGCCACAGAAAGAGCCTTAGCGGCTTCGTCGCCACAGAAAGAGGGTTTTCACTATGAGATGCTGCCCTACTGACAGAGCGTCTGTCATAGTTAAGCACCGAAGTTTAAATGTAATGTTTGGAGATTATTGAATCCTCACGGATACCCTCCACCCGCAACGAAACCCTTAAAAAAAAATGGCTTCTACTGTTTCCATCCGGGCGTTCTCTATTGCTCTTAAGGGATTTCTAGGTGATCGGCGGTGCGGCTTTCTAGAAGATTCTGATGAATATTTTTGCCGCTATCTCATTCTTACTGAAATGAGTTCAGTGTGGTGCTGGTTAATTGGCTATTATTGAAACTTGGGTCCACCTGAGGGAATTCTGTAAGCTGTACACACATCTCTGTGTGAAGTGACCCTCCCTGCTGGTAATTAGGCATTGTACCTTTGAGGCCTTCACCAAGTGGAGTCCGTCTCAGCCAGAAAGCCCTGTATCTTTTATGTTCCTCAAAAAAGCTTTTTTGGTGTGTTGAGGTGAAATTCACAACAAAATTAACCACTTTAAGGTGTACAATTAAGTGGCCTTTGGTACATTCGCAGTGTTGTGCAACTATTACCTCTGTCTAGTTCCAAGACCCCAAAAGGTCCGCCCCCTGCCACCCCAGCGGCCACTAGTCTACTCAGAAAGTGCTGTATCTAAAGATTTTATTCAGATACTGAAGATTCATTCATGCAGTATTAAGGTTTCTGAATGTTTGACCAGGCCTGAATCTGGCTACCTTCAACCCTAACATTCTGTCAGGATCCTTGTCCTTACTTAATCTGAAGCTTTCTGACCTTGAACAATATTTTTTTTTTTTAAGCAAAAATCAGTAAATCATATGATAGTATAGCTTTAGTCTGCACTTTGGTGATGAGAGCAGCCTGTGAAACTGCCAATTAGCTTCTGAATTTAGCAATTACTCTAGCTTGACTGCCTGTGTAGAAATGGTTTTACCTTTCTAGATTTCATATGATCCCTGTACCATTTACAGAATTGTGACCAGTGGAAGAGAATTAATTTATGCAGTCATATACCCAAATTTTGCTCCTTTATTTTGGAAGCAAGAAATAACAATGCTAATTAGGGTTATGTGAAAAAAACCCTCACTCATATTTTATAACCAAGCAAGGGCACCTTAATCAATTAGATCTGTGGTAATAAAACATAAATCAAGGAGGGGAAGAGTAAACCCATGAGGAGAAAAAGTATTTTGGCGAAGTAGTTATTTGTTGTTTACTATGAATTAAAATATATATTAACTGATTCTACAAAGATTTTGTGAATATACTTACAATGAAATTACAGTTAATTTACAGAATTTTGTAGGATGGACTACAGTTTACATTCAAAGGGTTTGACAGACTATAAACACATACAATTTATAACTTAGCTGTATAAATAAACAAATGGGGAGGCCGAATAGGTATTTTGGAACTGCTAAAAGAATTCAGAAGAAAGGACTATCAATAAGGCTAGTAGTTACTAAATACTTCTAACTTAAATTGGGGAAAGTCCAGAAGAGTTTAATGAGCTAGCAACCTGTCTTTTATTTCTTCACCAGAATTGTTGGCACCTGGATGACTAAATCTTCAAGTTGTCATAAATCAAGATCACAAGCCAAAGAGTAACATAGGAAATAAAAAAGACTGGATCATTTTATCAGATTTTACTGTTTCGTATACAGAAGGCTATATGGGTAAGGATGAAATATTAGTGTAATAGAATTCATATATGGCACAAAAACTCAGTAATAACCTTACTCCTTATTTTGTAAAGACAAGAAGATACTCTGTCCCAGGTATAACTCTGAAATACGTTCTTCAGGATTGTGACTGTTCCATCTTAATTTTTTGTTTCTGTATCTTCTGTCACAGTGCATGCCAAAGAGTAGTTAATAAGTTTTTTTGAATTAATACAGGAAGTATGAAGTTATATAATGTAACAGAGTGGTACCTCATATAAGTCCTAGAAGCCTAGAAATGTTCTTTATTGGGTAGTGGAGACAAGGAGAGGATGGATGCCCTGTTACTAATAGCACTTTAAAATACTTTCCTGACCATGCCTTTTTCATTTTTTATATACCCAATGCTTTAGCATGTAGTTGGCATTCATAAATGTTGAGTGTGTACATTAATATTCCCTCAACCCAAAGCAGTCATAACTGAACATGGTTAACAAACCTAAAGAATACATAAAAGTTCTGATAAATATGTTCTGTAAAAAAAACTTGCTACTGTGTTATCTGAGACTAAAAAAAATTCCTGCAGCCATTGTTATAACTACTATTTATTGAGTATCCATTATGCATCTTACATGTTGCTAGGTGCTTCTCAAAGCTTCACAACAATTTCCAAGGATTTTTATTTTATAAAGGATGAAACTTAAGGAAAGTTAAGTGTTTGCCCATGATCAGATAGTTAGCTAATGAGTGGATGGCTAATGGAGGATTTAGTCCTTAAGTCTGTCTAACTCCAAAAACCCATGCACTTTGCACTGTGCCAATATAAATCAACATTTACATAGTGTGCTTAGTATGTGTCAGGCATTGTGCTAAATTTGAAGAAACCCGGAGTAAATAATGTATAATCCCTTACCTCAAGGAGTTTACAGCTTGGTCGGGGAGGAATGATTAAGTGGCACCAGTAAGTCACAGACAAAATGCTATAGGTGGTGCCTGGGTGGCTCAGTCAGTCAAATGTCTGACTCTTGATTTCACCTCAGTCATGATTGTAGGGTCATGGGATCCAGCCACGCGTGTGGCTCAGCAGATGGAGTCTGTTTGGGATTCTCTCTCTCCCTCTCTTTCTGTCCCTCTCCTCTGCTCACTCGCTCTGTAAAATGAAAAAAAGAATTTTTTTTTAATGCTATAGAAGCAGTTCATTTTAGCTGAGGGAAATGGGGAAATTCTTCCCTGAAAGTTTTTGAGCCAGACCCTAAAACACTGTGGAAGAAGGGTGGGGCATGTATTCAGGAGTGGTTAGTGTTCTATGAAACTGAAATCTGATAAGCACAGAAGTATCATATTCTCAACAAAACTCTATAGGCTAATTAAATCTAGGCTGATCAAAGCCTTGAGTTTGAATCTCTCACTATGTGTGTTCAGGTTCAAATCCTCTGTTTCATTGATTTATAGTAACCTTTTCCCATGCTCTAATAGTTCCCAGTTAAATCCATTTTACACACCATAACCAGGCTCATCATCTGAAAATGGAATGTAGAGACTCTCCTGCTCAGAAAGTGCCATTTTGTACAGAATTAAGTTGGTAAAGTTGTTATAATTGGCTTATAATTGAGGGTCTGTATTCTGACTTCAATCATCCACTCCGTCTTATTTTCTTTCTTTTTTTACATTTATTTTTCTTAAAATTTTTAAAGTTAATTTTTTTTTTTTGAGAGAGAGAGAGAGCAGGGGATGGGTGGAGAGCAAGGGAGAGAGAATCTCAAGCAGGCTCCGCACTATCAGCATGGATGGGCTCAGTCCTACAACCATGAGATTACAACCTGAATCAAAACCAAGAGTCTGAGGCTTAATGGACTGAGCCACCTGGGTGCCCCTCCATCTCATTTTCTGGTTCTGCCTTTTATTTATGTTGTTAGTCTGCCATCACTAGTTAGAATAAAAGTATATGTGCTATAATAGAGCTATGAACAAAGATATAAGTCTTGCTGACTATTATATACTACCTAAGAACCTTTTGAGTAGAATTTAAGCTTCACATCATGATTTGTGTATAAACCATGACTCAAATTTTTGTTGTATTAGTATATGAATGGATGTGGTCAGAGAGGAGCAGGTTTATGTGGTAAGATGATGAGTTTTTTTTTTATTTTAGACATGTTAAATTTAAGGTATTAGTGGGATACCAACTGGAACTGTCTAGTAGGCAGTTAGAAATATGGGCTTCAAAGTTAGGAGAAGTCATAAATTTGGAAATCACCAATCTAGAGATGATGGGTAGACTAGGAGAGTGACTAAGCTCACTCAGTGATCATGTAGAAAAGAGGTCCTTGGAAAAGGGGAGGGGGGGGGGAGAACATTTAAGGGTATAATTAGGAAAAGCCTGAGATTAAAAGAGTAAAAGATAGATGTGGGACAGGGAGAGTTAAGTATCATTGAAGCCAAAGGAAAAATACTTGAAGAATTCATTGTTCAATTGGGAGACTCAGAGAGGAAACTTATCTTAAAGCTGATTTTAAAGGCATCATATAAGGGCACCTGGATGGCCCAGTCGGTTGAGCATCTGATTCTTGATTTTGGCTTAAGTCACGATCTCATGGTCTTGAGATTGAGCCCTTTGTCTGGCTCTGTGCTGGGTGTGGAGCCTGCTTAAAATTCTCTCTTCTTCTCCCTTTGCCCCCTGCCTCATTCGCACACGTGCTCTCTCTCTTAAATTAATTAATTAATTAATTAATAAAAAGAAGAAAGGCATCATATAAATGGAGGGAACCATAGAGCCTAATGTAGAATACTGAAGACAAGTTATAAAAAAATAAATATTTGTGATTGATGATGGTTGTTGATGATGAGATGAATTCCCATTCTGTTCATGGGACATGTACATTTACCACATTGCTACTATAATTTGAATTGACATAAATATTGGCTTGATTATTTTACACATACCTAGAAACTTAAAAAATAGAGAATGAAACAGCAAATGCAAATGTATTTGCTTATAAAATTGCTTCCATAAAATTGTTGATATGTATCTCTAATTTGGTCATCTTTTAAAAATTTTTTTATTTTTTTAAATGTTTATTTCTGAGAGAGAGAGAGATGGGGAGGGGCAGAGAAAGAGAGACAAGGAATCCAAAGCAGGCTCCAGGCTCTGAGCTGTCAGCACAGATCCCACTGTGGGGCTAGAACCCATGAACTTTGAGATCATTACCTGAGCTGAAGTCAGATGCTTAACCGACTGAGCTACCCAGGTGCCCCATGGTCATAAGACCTTTATATACAAAAAGCAGCAATGTTCCAATAGTTGTTATCAAAGAGAATTTGTGACTTTAAATTAATGGTGATATCCACTTTTTTTATTTGTTTTTTGTTTTGGAGAAAATTTGAGAACATTCTAGCTTATTCTCAAATTACTTTGTTGTTCTTGCCAAATATGAAAGTAATCTGTCAGTATGAGACTAGCTAAATAATTATGGTAAATCCATAGAGTAGATCACCATGTAACTATGAAAAGGAAAGAGGAAACTCTCAAAAATTAAAAATAGAACTACCCTAAGATCCCAGTAATACACAACTGGGAATTTACCCAAAAAATCCAAAATGCTACACTAAATTAAAGATATACATGCACCCCTATGTTTATTGTAGCATTATTTACAATAGCTAAACTATGGAAACAACCCCAAATGTCCATCGATTGATGATGGATAAAGAAGATATGGTGTATTTATGCATACAATAGAATGTTACTCAGCCATAAAAAAGAATGAAATCTTACCATTTGCAATAACTTGGATAGAGCTGGAGAGTATAATGCTAAGTTAAACAAGTCAACCAGAGAGAGACAAATAACTATATGATGTCACTCATATGTGGAACTTAAGACATAAAATAAGCGAGGAAAGAAAAAAACCAAGAGACAAACCTTAAGAAACAGGCTCTTAACTATAGAGAACAAACTGATGGTTACCAGAGGAGAGGTGGGTGGGAGGATGGGTGAAATAGTTGATGGGGATTAAAGAGTACACTTATCGGGGCACCTGGGTGGCTCAGCTGGTTGAGCGTCTGGCTTTGGCTCAGGTCATGATCTCACAGTTTGTGAGTTTGAGCCCCACATCAGGCTCTGTGCTGACAGGTCAGAGCCTGGAGCCTATTTCGAATTCTGTGTCTCCCTCTTTTCTGCTCCTCCCCCACTCATGCTCTGTCTCGCTCTCTCCTTCGAAATAAATAAAAACATTTTAAAAAATTAAAAAAAAAGAGTACACTTATGATGAAAAAAATAAAAATAAATAAAAAACAAAACAGTGGAAAAAAAAGGAAACTTTGTAAGTACTGATAAGAGATAATCTCCAAGATATATTGTGGGATAAAAAAAGCAAAGTGGAAACAGTATATGTTTTACTGCATTTGTATTAAAAAGGCAGAAAAGAGTCAATATATATGCATAAAATATTTCCACAAAGATACCCAAGAAATGGATAGTATTTGTAGACTCCATGTTTGGAGTGCTGGTGGCTGGGGAGCTGAGGTGTAATGGTGGCAGGGAGACTTTTCACCATACTTTTTGTATCTTTTGAATTTTAAGTTGTCTGACTATATTAACCTATTTAAAGGTTAACCATAAATGAATAAATTGGATTTAAAAAAAGAGTCACAAAGATAAGCAGACTCACACAAAGATAAATCCATTGTAAAAATGTGGAAAAGAAAGTATAAAGAAGAAATAAAGATCACTCATAGTGTCATAGTGATGAAGTAGTCACAGTTAATTGTAATGAAGTAAGAACAATTAGGTGTAATTCCTTTTAATTTATTTTTTCTAGTAATTTGGGGGATATACATTTTGTTTTTAATACTATTTAGTACTATTGTATTTAATACTATTAATTGTTATATTTTAGTTTTTACTCTAGTCAAGAGTAAAACAATAATATCTCCTTGTCTTATGACTCCCTATATGTGTGAACAATTTAGCATCTCTCCTTTTGCCCTGTTCATCCGTCCCTTAATTCCAGGAT